AAAAAAAAAAAAAAAAAAAAGTAATGGGAGAACACAGACTAAGAGCCAAAGACAGTTGTAGACGCTGAAAACATGTAGGACAAAAAAATCATTCAGTTGACGGGATTTTATTAACTGCACTGTTGACCTGTGAGCCTGTGTTGAGAACAGGTACTTGCATGTCAGCATCTGAGAAGCTGGGCCACGTATTCCCAAGAGAGCAGATTACATTGTTCCCAGAATCTGCCATATCTTTCTGTTGCCTTTGAAAAAGCTGTTCATTTTTCAAGTGCCAGATAAGGTGTTTAGCCATGCCTCATAGTCTGTCCTGTCTGCTAACCTCCACACAGAAGTAGGGTCTGCCTCTTGGGTTCATCATGCCCTGCCTGTCTTGCTCTGTCCTGTCCTGCAGTCCCCTCCCATTCCCCTGCTTTCCCCCTGCTCCTCTTTTTCCATTTTTTTTCTTTTATCTCTTCCTTGTTCTGGGATTGAACTCATGGTCTCAGTCATGATTGGTGAACACTCTACCACTGGGCTACTATTCTAATCTCTTTCTTTCTTTTAGTTGTGTGTGTGTGTGTGCGTGTGTGTGCGCACATGCCGGGTCTCACTACACAACTTGGACTCAGTGGTTCTCCGGTTTTCAGCTTCCCCAGTGCTAGGATTACAGGTGTACACCCGGACTCAGTTGCTGGCTTAGCTCTCCCAGGGGTGGGATTAGCACAGCATGTGGTACCAAGGATCAAACCCTGGCCCCTGGGCTTGCCTGAGCAGGCATTTAGTGACTGAGCTATCTCTGACCTTTTCATTGTTCACTTTGACATAATCTCCTAGTAAGTTGTGCTGACCAGCTTCAAGCTTGTGATATTCCTACCTCAGCTTTGCAAGTAGCTGGGATGATGGGCATGCGCCATCGTGTTCAGTTTGAATCTTTCTTTAAAGTGTAGCACTTGTTTCTGCACATTATAAAAGCCTCAGTTATGTTAGCCAGCCTTCATGGTAGCATTTAAGTCGAGCTGAGCTAAGGTTCTTGACGTGGCAATATAGTGCTGACCATTAAGGTGCGCTACGCAGCTTTCTGCTGAGCCATCCTGGGTTCCGGGCATTTGCTCAGTAGGTCTACTGTGAAACTTGTAGTAGGACGCTCGCCTTAACAGGTGATCAGGTAATTAAGAGTCAGACTCGGCACTTTGCCGGGCACTACTCTCAGTGGTAGAGGTTGGTATGAAAGTCTGGTGCTCATTATCCGGAGCACCAACCTGAACTCCCAGAGTCCCAGCAGGGGGACAGCTTCTCCCCGGCACACGCGGTGTGTAGTTACAGGCACAGAAGAGGTGCGCAAGGAAAACAAACACTCATTTGCAGGCTTTCTTGACGAAGCTGCCCTGCTTCTCGTTATCAACAAAAACGCAACTTTTTAAGTGACCTGATGCTTGCCTGAAGGAAAACATGAATGCAGAAATAGGTGTCCCTTTCCTTCTTCCTATCATTTTCGACCCTCTACTCTCAGCTTGCTGTTTGCTCTTGCGGCTTTATCACCTCAGTCTGTATTGTATAATGAAATCAGGAAACACAGAGTCTGTGCTCAGCGATGTCTTTTCCCTCAATTACATAGTTTCCTCTAGTATTACAGTCAATATTTTAGACCTTAATTAGGAGCCATATATTTATGGCATCTCCTAGTTCAGTGGTGGCAGACCTATGGCACGCGTGCCATAGCAGGCTGTTTCTCATCACTGAGAGCCCTACAAGCTTCGCCATCCTGTTTTGGTTCACACCATCATTTTATTGTTTAGTCAAAGCTCACTGTAACTAGGGTTTGGGTTGGAATTGTATTTTTTCATTACACAGATACCAAAGCAGAGATTTACATATGAATGGCATGCTCAGGACCAAAAGGTAGATGAGGTTCTCTGCTGGGTCAGTCTTTCCACTCCAAATCTAGAAGTGTGTGTGACACACGCGGTGACCTCAGGGCAGAGTTACTCCCAGAATTACCTGTGACGAGCCTCACTAGTGAGGAGTTTCTCTGGTGTGACGTGCTAGCCGGAATGGGTGTGGTCTATAGAGTGAAGCATTGAGGACAGATCCAGTAGTCAAGTTCGATAGCACTCTGGACAGAAGATTCTCAAGTGTTCAAAGTGAATAAAGACTCAGAAAGGGGACCTAAGAGAACTTAAGCTTTCAGATTTGACAGAGAAAGGAATTGAGTCCCATGAACTAAATTTAATTTATAGAAGATACAGATAGGTGTTAGTCAGAATGTCTAATTTCCAGCTCACTTAAAAAAAAATGATTTGCCTCCTCATACACAATTATCCTGGTACATTTTGCTTCTTAGGGCTGCTTTGAAGAAGGCATGATGCTGCTTTCCTTGCCCTTTTAATGTCAAACATTTACTATCACATCACATGGGTAAAAACCCATGTATCACAGGGGGGTGGGCAGGTTTCTACAGAGTTAATTGCAGCCATTCCTGATCAAGTATCAATGAATGCACTCAGCGTAATGCACAGTGCACCTAGCATATGAGAGAGAGAGAGAGAGAGAGAGAGAGAGAGAGAGAGAGAGAGACTTTCTTGATCAATAGAAAGAGCAAGTGAAGGATGAGGTGGAGCAGCAGGCATTCAGCGATTGTCCTACTGAACACACAATATTGCTACTTCAGTAATCATATGATTTCCATCTTTGCCTCACGTTTTAGCCCGAGAAGTGACATGTTCCTTATTGCTACTTTACAAAATACAGCTGTAAATACACTCGAGTCATTTTCACCCAACACTAGAGACAAAAAGACAGTGCTGCTCTAGAAACCAGATTGCTACTGGTAGCCAGCACCACAATGAGAAAGCTTTCACATACATGTATTAGCTGATGTGCAAGACTCCAAAGGTGGTGTACAAAAGCCAGTCTGGACACTTTTGTCTGTATCAGTCTTAGCAATGAAGACTGTATTTCCATTTTGAAATACTTAAGAGATTGACTTTTTTTGGTACTGGAGCAATGACTTTTGCAGTGATGGGGTTCCTCCTTAACAAAGTATTTAGTAAAGGGGAACTCAGCATGTCTCTATAATTTCTCATAATACTGCCTACCCTTGAGGATTTTCTGTTTGCCAAGTTATTCTTTCTGGCTGAACTTAATCAAAATTTCAAAATTCCAGGAGTTTTTGATTGATAATTAACATGTTGCAGGAAAACAAATCTTCAGTCTAAGTGTGGCTGGGGAAGCTGAGGAAGAATTGCAGTGGCATTGCACCCTAAACCAAAACCAGTGGGAACCAGGCAATGAACTTGGTGGCATCTTGCATCGGGACGCTAGATGCATGAGAGAGGAGAAATGATTCACTTTGAGTCTGCCTGTATATTTCCTAAATTATAAGTCTCTTTTATTTATTCACATTTGATTTACTGCTACAAAGTACTGTGATTCTGTCCCTTGGAGAAAAAAAAAAGTTGGCCATAATACTGAAATGCCCCTTTCCAAGTAATAATTTTAATATTTACACCATTGGCATTCATTCACTTACTTACAGCAAATGTTTGACAATTTGCAAGTGTGCATTTTTATAAACAAAATAAAAATGTGAATAATCATTTCATTTTGTTTTGCAGAACCCCAGCTGAAAGGAATTGTGACAAGGTTATTCAGCCAGCAGGGGTATTTCCTGCAGATGCACCCAGATGGTACCATTGATGGGACCAAGGACGAAAACAGTGACTACAGTAAGGGACATTAGCTTCTTGCAATCCTATTAGAAATTGAATATGTGCGGCTGGGGAGATTGCTCAGTGCTCTGAGCGCCTGCCTGGCAAGCAGAAGGACCCAGGTTAGATCCCTGGTATCATGTGCCCTGCCAGCCCCAGAACCCTGGACATACCAAACTGACCACCAAAACTGGGAGTGGTGGTGTACACCTGCAACCCCAGAGCTGGGGAGGCTGAGATAGGAGAATGACTGTGAGCCCAAGCTGTACAGTGAGACCCTGGACCAAATAAGCAAATAAATAAATAATTTTAAAAAATTAAAGGAAATTAAATATGTAGCTAAGTGTTAGCCACACTTAACCATGGCCAGCCTAGTTTGTTGGAAATATTCAACTATTGGTGAGCTAGTGTATTTCTTTTATCCTTCTGCCATCAACTCTCTGCAGCAGGAGTTAGTACAGGGGAGAGATTATGTACTAAATGGGAAGTTGTGAAAGGAGAGGTTATGTACTAAATGAGAAGGTGTGAGACTCTAAAGAGTTCCAGATGATCAATAGATGAGTTTCTCTTCTATGACAAGATTTCCCCAAGGTGATATGTAATCACAAGAGAAGTGCAGACTTTGTAGCCTTGTGCTAGTATTTAAAATAATATTTAAGTCTTCAAATCAAGTAATGAACAAGTTATGATTTGCAGAATACTTTGTGGCAGAAAAAATTCAGATTAAGGATAAAACTAAAGAAAAACATATTAACATTATAGTGATGTTTTACAATATATATGTGAAATAAGACAAGAAAGACATGTAATTCTACATTTTGAAATAAAAATGACAAATATTAAAAGACTAGTAATGCTAATACCATATCTAGAAATAGTTTTTTGGGTTGACTAGTTCAGTCACTAAATACAATCATTCTGCTATGACAGTATATTTGCATTTCAGAAAACTCTCAAATGCAAGCTTCAGAGGCAAGGTTGATAGCTCACATATCTTTTAACTTTTTCATAGCCATATCATATACAGATACCTCTGATAAAATTCATGGTCTTCTGAAATCGTTGTAGGTATCATACTGTTTTATAAAGTTTGTAGTCACTGCTGGAGTTTTAGTGTTGTATATGCAATGACTGTTCATTATCTGCCCAAAGGGATTGTGATTCTATTGGATAAATGTGATTATTTTGGCCAAATCACCAATCTCCCCATAGTACCTAAGGTAATCTAGGAAGCCTGGCATCTTGTAGTGATGACCCTTTACATTAACACAGATTTGAAGAAAATGTGCAAATCTGTAAAGTGTCAAAGTGATTTTGTCCACCCCTGCTAAACTTTCTTTGTTCATTTAATTTGACACATTACAAAATATGAATTATAATAAAGAAAAGATCTTATTATGAAGACTTTCTTCTCGGTGTTCTTCTTCTCAGTTTTGAGCAGAGTAGTTGATTAGGACATTGTGTTTTGCATTGTTGGTTTGTATTGCTGTAAATGAATTTCCCAAAGATTCAAGTTTTCAATTCAGTTCAGAAGAATGAGGATATCCCCTCTCTGCAGGCATGTATGACTGTCATCTGCATCTAGATTTGAATGTCAATTTAGGAGGCTACAAGTATAAAGGAGGAGAATCAGGGAACTGCTTAGCTATGCCACCCTTGGCATTTCTGAGATGTCAGTTAATTCTGAGATCCCAGTTTGTATTTCTATCAAAACAAGGTGATTAGAGATGATGACATCAATATCCTCTGTCAGTACCATTCACCCAGTGTTGAAATAAATGAAATAATATAAGTTGGTGAAGACAGATTCAACCCCCGAGTAATCCAGATAGTCATCTTCTATTCCACAGGGTGCAGCCTTAACCCAGCCGTCTGGCCTGTGGGCGGGTGATACTAACACAGGGACAGGGACAGAAGGTGGGCGCGCGAGTGTGGGATCAAATACACACAAATCTTTCCTTCACCTTTTCTAGAAAGTAATTGCAAGTGCTGGCTCTGCTGATGCTGAGTCTGCCAAGTCATACTTACATGTGCATGCTTATAATTATACCCATATAATAATATATAGTATAAAGTGAGCTATATATGTATATTAGAATAATGGTGGATATACATGTTCTGCACGTACACACCCCACCCAGAATGAGGACAGTGCATTAAGTGTTATGTCCAATGCTTTTAGAAACTGTCTGAACAAGTTTTCCTAAGATGAGCTATTGAACTCTTCGGTAAGTTCTTATTAAGATAGTTGAGATGTGCAAAATAAAAGAATAATGTAAATTCATGTGGTTGCCCACCATCAGTTTAAAAGTGAATTAAAAATTTCAACACATGCAAACTTCCTGTGTGTTCTCACTGACGGAATCCTGCTTTCCTTCCTTACCAGGCATAATAACTCTTCCTGGATATGAGTTTTCTTGGTTCCGTGCATTTTTTTTCTTTTCAAAGTTTTATTGATAAACATATAGCAATGAGACAGTTTCAAATCAAATCGAAAGTACAGTTTCAACAAATAATACACTGCATACA